CCTGGCAATACCTCAGCCCTCGTGCTCCCCCCCCCCCGGGTGGCAGCTAGGCACCGGAGCGATTTGTCCAACACGAGAAAATTGCCCGTGGAGCAGTTTTTTGAAGGAACCTGGACTGTATTGTATGGCAGCACCGGAGCGATTTGTCCAACACGAGAAAATTGCCCGTGGAGCAGTTTTTTGAAGGAACCTGGACTGTATGGCAGTATGACGAGAAATGCTCCTCCACCATTGTTTCGGGTCGAGAATCCCATTAGCTTGGATGTTGGTTCCGTTAGCACTGCAGTTGAGTGTCTGATCCACTCACTGACCTTGTCTTCTCGCTGATTGTCAACTTTTCATTCCATTTATATTATCACTTCAGATTTGTCGACTTAAATGGCCAAAAAGAAAGACCGTGACTTTCAAAAAGTGCGTATCAAAGTTGGGCGGAAACTCAAGCGCCAAAACGAGACCGTGGTCGACTTGAGCACGCGGAAAATCAAGTTACCTCGTGAACGTGAACGAGATGAGGTGAGTCGTCATTACCCTGTTCTGGAGGAAGTGCTTAATGTTCTCTATTGTAGACAGTGTCAGAGAAGCCCGGTTTTCGTGTCATTGACGAGGCCATCGAATCGTTGATCTTGGAGAAACCATCAGTTCAACTTCAAGCCCTCCAAACGCTGAACGGAATCTTCGATCCCTTTGTAAAACAAATGGGTACAATGGGATTTTCCGATTGTTCCCCACTGACCGTACAATCACGCTCGCTGTCTCAGCTTGTTGCTCTGTACCGCACTCTTTTTCAGTTTGATCAATCCCAACCCACTCAGTTCGGGCTACAGTTGGGCTCGCTATCAAACACTTTATTTCGTTTGTGTCGAGGTGCTCAAGATCCACAGTTGTGTGGGGCGCTGTACAGCTTGTTTGTCAAGTTGTTGCGGGTGAGTTGAATATCCCGTCAGCCCCGTTGCCACATGGCGCTAAACTGTGGTAGCCAATAGGCTAACGTGTGACTAGAAGACCCTCACCAAGTATCCTTGCAGAGTAGAAGTGGATCAAAGTCTCCGCGTTGGAATTTTAATCACAAATGGCCAGAGTTCGGACCACACTAAGAGTGAACAGAAAGTTGAATATCTTACTGCATACTTGACTGCCATGCAGTGGTATGGGCTAGGTGGCTCAGTGGTTAGAGCGCGAATTTATTGACCGGAAGGTCCGTGGTTCAAACCCGACCTCTGTCTCTCAACTTCCCCTGTTTGGGCTTAGGCGACCTTGCAGTATCCCAGCCCTCGTGTTTCCTTCGGGTAGCATAGCAGCTAGGCACCGGAAGGGTCTAATAGCTGAACGAACATGCAGTGGTATCTAGATTTTTTTAGCTTTAACCCTTTTTGATGATAAAATATCCCATGATTCATCCTGGACCCAGTGAATAACGGAGGCATCGTAATTACAGAAGAAAAAAGTCGTTCAGCTGTAACACCTTTTCGGTGCCTAGCTGCCATACCACCCGAAGGAAGCACGAGGGCTGGCGTACTGTCAAGATGCCCAAGAGGCGAAGTGAGATGCAGAGGTCGGGTTCGAACCACGGACCTTCCGATCATTAAATTTGCGCTCTAACCACTTAGCAGTTTCTCCCCCAATTACTGCGAAAATTGATTCCAACAGAAAGCCCATACAAGATCCTCTCATGATAGACTTTCCTTCTGGCCTGAAAGACTGTCACTTGTTTGTTCACACTGGACTGATCATCAGTGTAAACTCGAAGTAGTGTTTCGCTTTTTCTGTAGCCACAAAGCGCGAAATNATGGGCTAGGTGGCTCAATGGTTAGAGCGCTAATTTACTGACCGGAAGGTCCGTGGTTCAAACCCGACCTCTGCCTCTCAACTTCCCCTGTCTAGGCTCAGGCGACTTTGCAGTATCCCAGCCCTCGTGTTTCCTTCGGGTAGCATGGCAGCTAGGCACCGGAAGGGTCTAATGGCTGAACGAACAGGCAGTGGTACCTTGATTTTTTTAGCTTTTCACCTTTTTGATGATAAAATATCCCATGATTCTTCCTGGACCCAGTGAATAACGGAGGCATCGTAATTACAGAAGAAAAAAGTCGTTCAGCTGTAACACCTTTTCGGTGCCTAGCTGCCATACCACCCGAAGGAAGCACGAGGGCTGGCGTACTGTCAAGATGCCCAAGCCTAGAGAGGCGAAGTGAGATGCAGAGGTCGGGTTCGAACCACGGACCTTCCGATCATTAAATTTGCGCTCTAACCACTTAGCAGTCTCTCCCCCAATTACTGCGAAAATTGATTCCAACAGAAAGCCCATACAAGATCCTCTCATGATAGACTTTCTTTCTGGCCTGAAAGACTGTCACTTGTTTGTTTCCACTGGACTGATCATCGGTGTAAACTCGAGTTAGCGTTTCGCTTTTTCTGTAGCCACAAAGCGCGAAATCTGGTACTTAAATCTGTAAAAGTGCTCCTTGCAACGAAAAGAAAATAGTCTAGATGTAGCAACCCTTCGGTGCCTAACTGCCATGCCATCAGAAAGAAGCACGAGGGCTGGGATACTGCCAGGTTCCCCAAGCCTAGACAGGGGAAGTCGAGAGGCAGAGATCGGGTTCGAACCACGGACCTTCCGATCAGTAACTTCGTACTATAACCACGGTATTGCTTTTGCTTTAACTATCCAATTTGTCCATAATTTCACTGTTTGCTGTCGAGCGTTGCGGCGCGTTGGTGATCCTGCTAACCGCAAACCAGTCTAGTGAAGGGGCCAGCAATCATATCATTCCCTGTCGCTGGCATTACTCGCTGTTACTAGGGAAAACCGAGAGACTCATATTCGGCTTAAATCTAACGTCATTCTAATGTCAATGTAGGGCGAACAACTGCAGCTCCCCAGTTTTCACTTCTATTTACTCTACACAGACTGTGCACCATTCGGTTGACAAAAAGTGGAATTCAGCGTTTGTTCCGTTCTCATCTGTAGTGCCATGGATGATCTTTCTGGACTTATACACTGTGCATTCGCACAACTAAGCCAGTCCAACTTACAGGCACCTGTCATGGTTCTGATGAAAGCAACAACTGATCGGAACATCACCACTGCGGTAGCTATTTGAGTATCAATCATTAATGGTGCGTTCATATGCGATCTGGAATATGCAGACGGCATCGTTCTCATGTTCGAAGAGGAGGAAAAGGCGCAAGTATTCTTGGATGAACTGACCAAAGTTATCCCGTCCTTCGGTATGCACTTTGCACCCACAAAGTGTAAGGTCATGCTTGTGGACGTGCAGTCACTGAACACGCCACTTACAATCCAGGGAGAGGTACTGGAAGTTGTGGAGCGTTTTACGTATCTTGGAAGTTGTATTAGTTCTGATTGTAGTGTGACAGATGAGGTGAATGCACGAATCTGCAAGGCTCGGGCCGCGTTTGCTAACTTGAGACACCTATGGCGTCAGAATGGTTTATCCCTGAATCTGAAGGGACGTGTGTATCATGCTACAGTACGGGCTGTTTTGTTGTATCCTGTATATCCTGTTTTTACCTCCCACCCCACCTCGATCAACTCAGATATGTTCGCTGCATCCGAAATTCTTGGATCTACTGCGTACTGTGGACCGATGTGCAGTAGCCGCACTGCAACGTGTAGAATCTCCTTGGTTATGGTTCGGCTGTCGTTTAGCTGGCCTTGTCCTGCAAGCCCACTCACAGTTCATCACCACGGCAACATTATTGGGTCGTTCTCATCAATCCGTTGATCCTGTGGAACAGCTAGTTCGTTCGAGTATCTACTCTCGCGCGCTCGTCCATCTTTACCGGGAACTTAAGGAGGAGGTGAGCACAATCCGCAATGCTGGACACGTTTTACCTTTTAGATTCGCCTAATCCACACAACTGAGTAGTTCGT